GATAGGTGATTCGCTCCATACCGTGTATCAGCTTAATCTCGCTCTACAAAACGGTACCTAAAGCTTCTCGAAACACTTCAGTACAAGAGAGTTATTTACAATCAAACAGTAGGCACATCTTTTTGGGACACCCTCTATTGTGAACAGCTTTTCTCTTATACTGGATTTTTCCTGTGTGGAGCTTTGACTTCTTCGGAATGCACGTCGTCAACGTCTCTCCTATGCCTCAGTCTGATGCCTCTAGTGTTTTAAAAAGTGAGGTAAACAAGTATTGAAAAAGATTCAAACTTTCTCGAAATATCGTGTACTGCCTGAAATTAACGAGAATGACCAGATTTTCCGAAAGCTTTCTTTTTTCAGAAAAGGTTTCTGGTTGAAATGTTGACGACAAGTGAAAATAACGAAGATTGTGCGCCAAATCAAACCAGGAAACCCTGATGACATTGCTTACCACACCACACTAAGATCTTATCTGGGAAGCAATGTAGGTTCCCAAATGACTATTCACAAACTATTGTGCTGATTCTTTCCCATAACCGTTGCTCACTGGGTGCAGCATTCAGTTTGTTGTTCTTCTTTCTTCACCAAGTTTTTGTTCCCATGTGAACCATCTCGCTACTCGTGGCTACCCACTGCATCGCTTACCGTACGCCCCATGCATTCCGAGGTGGTATCGCAGTGCTTCTCGCTGTCCTCACCTCAGCATAACCTTTTGTTTCCGTCGTTTGTTCTTGGCAGAAGTTCGACTCAGATCTCACCGCAGTGCAAACACTTCGTACCAATCTCGTTTCGTCGTTAATGGTTCTTTTGTTGCCGTTAACAGCCTCTACACCTCTTGACGGCATCTCTCCGCATGATACCGACCAACGCACTACGTGTACGGCAATGTCAATAAATTTTACTAGGCTATGTTCTGAATTGTAAATCAGGCCTGACTTGGATTTTATAAGTGGCTATAGTTTTTTACAGTTGTAAGTGGTTATAGTAATAATGGGAACAACTGTCACTTTTGATTGACCCTATTGTATCTTCAGCAATTATCACCTTGATTGATCACATTCATGCCTCGAGCAGAGAATGGTTACCTAAAGAGTATGGTTGTTCTGGCACATGCCAGAACCTCTCACCTCCGCCCCCCTCTCTCTCTCTTCGGTCACGCCTTCTAGGCGTGGCCGCCTCCTCTTCACTTGTGACGATACGTTCCTAGCGAACGGCAATAAAAGCTACCACTGAACCACCTGTTGATTAACAGAAGCAAAGAGCGCCACCCTTCCGCTCAATTCTCAAAGGCGCCACCCTCCCGCCTAAAACAAGTCGCCACATTTTCTGGTGCATCGGCTAAAATTTTAACCGATATCAAGGTCAGCATCAAGCCTGTCCCAGGGACTCAGTAAGCCCTAAAAGCAAGTTTTTGCCCATTCCAAGACGCACCTATCGCCTCTTGACGCTGTTAGACTGGAAAAAATGTCTCTAATTTTCCACAAAACCCATATCTCATCTAGCGCAACGGCCCTAGCGAGTGTTCTTAAGACTTACGAAGAATACAGGGATAAAATCCAATATCCGGAAAATGATAAGGAGTTATTTGACAGAGCAACCGATAACATAGCCCTTCTGTCAGGAGGCATCACGCGAGTGACAGTGGCAGTAGAAACTCTTCAAGCAAAAGTTGATAAGATGGAGGAACAGTTCAACAATACTAAGAAAACTGATCAAAAAGAAATGCTTCTAGACATCCAGGAAATTGAGAAAGACACTCAAGTTTTCAAACTTCTTGCGGAAGCCGAAACCTTCACTGGTCTTTTCCAGTGGCAGTAATAACCGGAAGTACAGGATCAGCTAATATTGTTCAGCTAATTCTACCTATTACTTGATAAGATGGACAAATTTGATTATCATAATTAAAGAACGTGCATTTTCATGGAATGAAAATGTAACAATTTCAAATCTGAGAATAACATTCAAACTTAAATGGTGGATACATAACATGTCGCTCGTTTTTGTTCTCATCGTACCTCATCTCTCTCTGTCTATGGATGCACTTTATTTTTATTTCTAAATTCTTTTACGCCACATTAATGGACTTAAAATCGTTCAAAGCAGATCATGGATGTTAGTTGGCAGGACTTGAATGATCTTTTCAATTTGTAGGTTAAGTTATAACTAGATGATCTTTGATAAATAGCGAAGAACTCACAGATAAAAAGCTTCGTGTTTATGAGTTACCATCAACAGTTTTGAAATTTCGCTGAGTCAAGCCTCTAAAGAAAGAAAAGATTTTACTGGCTAAAACAATACTCAGAAGGCTATTCTAATGTATGAAAATGTATGCAAGATAAAAAATTGTTTTTCATATAAGTACCGCTTTGAAAATGCTCAAATGAAAGTTACAATTTGTAAAAATTTTTGGATATAGAATACTGCATATTATAATTTCTAAACGGAACAAAATAGGAAGAAAAAATCAAGGGCTAGAACTTTTCATGGAGTCAGTCATCATGAAGTCATTACTAGGAAAGAGTGGGAGGCCATTCCCAATTCAAAAGTGATTTGGAATGGTCTTTTTGGCATTTTATCTGCTAAAATCTAAGAAAAATGCCATGTGAGTTTGTCTCTACGCTTGTTGCCGATTATGGCAACATTAATTTTTGCTTTGAACGCTATTAAAAAACGGCATTACTCTTCCCAGTTAATAAATATCTTATTAGAAGGGATTATTGGATTTGGAGAAGATTTAGGGATTTGGAATTTTGGGTGCAATTCTACATTCTAAGAATTCATCTAAAAATCACTTTTTTTGCAAGCGCGGTATTGAAAATATAACAAATCATTGAACATTCTTTTCTCAGCCCTACTGCAGTGACTAGTCAAATAAAGCATCAAATTCGTACATGCCTTCCAATGGAATTATATTTTCACCAATTGTTTGCTGCTCAAAGGAAGAAACATGCTGGAAATTCCCAAGCAATGTTTATTTGAAAGCCGATGACAGTTGCGCGAACAAGCAGTTGTCTGCTTTAGAGTTCAGAGCGCCACAACTGTATATGAGAGGAACAAGTGGTCTCCGCTAAAAACTATGGGGGGATGAACTTTAGTGAGATTAAGAACAAACTTTCTGTTGTCGCTTGGGGCAGCAAAGCAGTTTTTGTTGGCATTTCTCTCGTAGATGAAGCTTTCCATATCATGGAAGCTAGCGGGTCAATGGGAAGAGGGATAAGGGACGAGGAAGGAGGTAGTACATTCAAATCGTTGAAAATTACTTGGCTATGAAAACAGCAGTGGGGACAGGTTTGATTATATCCGCACCCAGACTATGTACCAAAAACAATACCATTTTTTTGCATCACTCTTCCTAGAAAGAGAGTACGAGTTTACCGCCTTATTGAACCGACAAACAATTTTATCTCCCCCCCCCCCCCTTCCCTCTCATGATCTACTTCTGCTAGCTGTGTCTCCGGTCAGCCGGCCGTTTGTTCCTTTTTGCAGCAACTGCGACGACAGAAGTGTGGAACGGGATCGAAAAGCGCGGCTGGCCCGCATTTGGCACGACATATGATATAGCAGCTGATTTTCATTGAAAAGCGCACGGCTTCCGAAAAAAATATGCGACGCCATCAACTCAGCACATGTTGTTGGCATTATTGTTTCGGAATACCTTGAATTTTAACGCGTCAACTGTTCCTACGCGTCGCACGTTTTTCCACCGGGCAAAATACCAATTTTCCCGCAATTTTCGCTTTTTTCAGCAGTGGAGTATAAATCTTCTCCTGTACATTAAGCACCTGGAACTGCACTTCTAACGGCTGCACAGCCTCATGTCTTGAACAGAAGTTATGGACGACAGCAGTAGCAGCTGGACACCACCAACTTCACGGCGCCAGCAACTGTGCCGTTAGACTCTCTACCGGACCAGATGTCGCTCCCCTCAGGCGCTACAACTGCTTTCCCATCTAACCCCAGATGCTTCCAATTCGCGGTAAACTTTCACTTGCTATTAGAACAGCTCTCAGGTGCTCTCCGGGTTTCTTCACAGATGATAAAGCCATTGCACTTTTTCAAAGCCAGGTGTGGAAAAAGGGTTATGCACCATCATGAGTTTTGGGTCATAAGTATGCGAACTGGTTGAGATGTTAATTGCCTGGAATTCTTATACCAGAGAATTTCCTAATTTCCTAGAGTCTCCAGAGTAGATGTGAACAATGGACTAGCTTCTTTTGTTTTGAGTGGTAACCTCAAGGAATTTCCCGGAAACATCTTTCTGCAAGAGCACCCCAAATTTTAAAACTTACTTCCTTAACGACATTAGCTTTAGAAATTTCTCTCCCTTACATTTGTTATTTGGAATTCATTGCGACCTCTCAGACATATGACAAATGCTCATACTTCATAAACCTCAAAAAAAATTTTTTTTGGAAGTTCTCTATGGTTACCTAGCAGGTGACTATAAACTTTATGTTTTCTTATAACAAATGGCTACTCTTTCACAAATAACTCCTCTTCAAAGGGACTTTGACTTTGCGAATTTTACTGATTTTCTAGCAATTGTCTTCAACCGATACTTGAAAATCAAATTTATGGCAGTTTTCGAAATCAGCAAGCACTAGTGTTCTATCAAATGCCTCGTTCTTTTGTAAAAAATGGAAATTGTCTAGCTTGTTATCACGTCCATTTATTCACTTTGTGGCACCAATGGTGCTCATACAACCTAATGAAAGGTAGCAGAATCAGAAGCGTAAGGTAGATGTTGTTTAGCAGTGCTGACAGCTGGTCATTTTTAACCAGAAATCTAGGCTAAAATTACCCTAATTTACTCAGTCATTTTTGAATAGGTTATCAAAGTTAAAGAATGTATTTCTGAACCTTCCGTTCCTCAGTGAAAAAAATCCTGCACAAAAGATCAATACAGAGGTTTTTCATAAAAGTTTGGCCTCGTATATAAAATTCACGACTTTTCCAGTTTTCGGACGAGTTTCCCTCGTTGATTAGCTTCCGTCCCATGTGTTCGTGGTCTGCTGCAAGTCTGCAGCTGCTACCAGCTGCGCACCTGCGACTCGTTCAGGCCCGCTTAGCCACGCCCACTGACGTCTTCACACAACCGCCCGCCGCTCCGCCCACCCACAACGGTCATTCCACGATACTCACTGCATCGTCGATCGTCGTCGCACATTACGCTTATTCAGTCATGCAACCTAAAGTAAAACTTGGTCCACGCAAGATCGGAGTTCAGGGTCCGTCCATCAAGAAGAGGGGTTGGTTTTTTGAACGATTTTTTGCAATATTTTTTTCTAATTTCTCCTTATATTCTCCGAAATAATTTCGCAAGCTTATATTTGCATTTACCAGAATCTCCCAGAGAGCCTCAATTCACTCCTGATGAGATGGCTGAACTAAAACGCCTCACGGCCCTTCTCCCTCCCCGAGCAGCCAAAGAGCAAGATCCAGCACAACTCGTCCTCAACGCTGCCAACTACATCCAGCAACTTGTGGCCACTGTTCAAGCCCGGGTTCATCGAGGTACCCTACCAGTCGGTGAGTCCAATTTTCATCGATTACCGTAACTCGGTCAAGCTACCGTACCGCCGTCGGACCTGTACCACCTCGACACCCGCAATTATATCGTTATCTTGCGGCGCTCAGCACCGAATTGATTGCGTGTCGAGGTCGTCGACGAGTGGAAAACTTCTTCTTTTCAAATTCCTAGATGTTGACAAGATTTGAATTTGCCTTCTTTCAGAGGCGCTTGCTGCCCTGCCTCCCGGTTCGTCGGTAAGACCAACGAGATCTACCACACACAGGAAGAAGAGGCGGTCAATCGAGAAACAGCACTAAACCGTCTTTGTACCTCTTCATTCATATCGAAGATGCCTTAGCGTTCATTCGTTTTTATTTCTTTTTATGTGATCTGTGATGTCACAGCGGGTTTTCTTGTCATTATTATCTCATTATGCTTCATAAATATCAACAAATCAATGTAGTTTGTTTCATCTGAAACTTCATGCTTCCTTAAGTGCTCAAGATTTTATCCAATGTTTCATTGATCTCCAACCCTAAACTTTGGAAAAAGTTTCCATCTCACGCGAAAAAACTCACTTTTTAATAAAGTAGTAAGCACTATTTTGATCCAACTATCTATTGTTAAGTAGAATCATCCTAGACTGAAGTCACAAATATTTACCTATTCATTTATTTATTGCATTCAAAGTGCATCAGGATGAGAGTACAACGATTATCAAATAGATAAAATAAGGGTGATATCTGAAATAGTACTTAGCTATCGAGAATTTGATTTGAGTAGTTGGATTCCCAGTATTGCGCAGGTTTTATTTAGAACGTATCATAATCTCGTTCATGAGAAGCACAACTCTGAAAAGAACAAAAGCTACGGCATTTCTTATGCCCCTCTGGTGTTTCTATCAACCTCATGTATGCTGCAGGTCAAAAAGTTGAAAAGTTCTCTTCATGAATTTATACGCAAGGGTAATGATTGTATGGGAAGTACTGTAACTGGAACAGACATTCTGGATGCACGTTTATGCGTACTTGTGCAATAATTGTCTAACTTTTAAGCCTTTTTACCTCTCAAATTCACCAGCTTTTACTTACACAAGAAAAGCTACTCCTTAAGATTGCTGCTATCAGCTTGAACCATTGAGGAAGTACAAGAGCCATGAAAAAATACCATAGTTTTTAGAAGTCTTCGATGAATTCTTCTATAGCCTAAATTCTTCCTACTTTTTTCCGGCTAAATCACCTTAAACAAAGTGAAGCTGCCTGTTCAAGCTTACTACACAAGCATTGAGGACCTGAGGTGTGGTGACCAGGTGTTCAAGAGGGCTCCTTCTTCTTCCCGCATATGCTACCGCAACTGTTTCGAATCGTCAGTTGCTGTGCAGCATTATACTGCAGCTTCGTTAATGCTTGTTCACTGAGAAGATAATGAGCTTGGATTATCTTGGATTCAAGATAGAGGATTTTTAGACTGTAGGGTTACTGTATTGTGGTCAGTTTAGAATGCCATCTGCTATAGGGTGTGCAAGTCGAGGTTTATAGGAAGTAACTTGAGTGAAAATTCGGGTGTTGGGAGCGGACCATCAGAACCTCCTTTACCCCATTCCCTCCCTCCTTTCCCAATCTTTGCATTCCCCAGCAGAGTTAATGACATGTTACTCAACTCTCGAAAAGTTTCTCGCTCGATCCAGATTAACCTTGATTATACAGTGAACTATGGAAATATGAGCAAAGCGAGCGCAGTACGGTTGCGCAACGTCTCGCACCTGTATGTATTCGCTCCCAGAAAGCGGTTCCAGTTACTAAATCCTCATTTATTGTCGATAAATAGCATCTCGTACCACCTGTTCCTCAGTGAGGTGAGGAATGGGGAAACTCGCTTAGATGTCCCAACTTAGACACCAGTTTAAGAATGTAGCCTTGAAAGAAGCAAAAATTTCGCCCTTTTCTTTCGAAACATTTTCCGCAATTCATTTTAGCCATTTCAAAACTTTATTAGCTATGAAATTTGTTGTAAGCTAATCAAGGTTATTATAGCTGCATAACTACTTGAAAACACAATACATATGATAATAGTATAATTATATAATAAGAAAAACAGCTACATCATATAAGTGTATGTAACCATGCTATATCTATTGCAACAATTATGAGCTTAAAACAAAGTTCATGGTTTCAAGAAAATGAAGTGATGATGATTGATGATCCATGATTGAACATTTTTTCAATATCTACCATTTACTTTGTACATACTGTTTATTTTACATGATGTTAGGCCTAAAAAAGGCCAGAGACCTAACATACCGAGTTTTTGTCTGGAGAAGGTAAACGAGTATCAGACTTCTATTCAAAGCGAATAACCATATTAGAAAGATTGATAGAGAGAAAATGAAAAAACTACTTTTCATTTAAAAATACCAAACAAGAGACAAATTTTTAGAACTTTTTCTTTTTTTTTGTTCTACATAAACTTCAGAAAACTGCAGTTTTGTATAATTTTGTGAAGCCCCAAAAAACCACCCACTTCGACTAATCACATCGAACGCGATCCATCAGAAAGGCTTGTCGAGTGTGCGGGCATGTTTGGCGGTAAACGCTAGATTATATATGTGCAGCTGGCGCTCTCATCCTTTGACGGTAAGCACTTCGGTACACAAAAAGGTACTTGGAACTGTCTTGGGAACGAGGAGCATTGATTGCTGAAACTCTCCAGGTTTGGAGGGGGTACAGTATCCAATTTGAACAAAATTCCCATCACCTTAGCAGGCGTGATGTGAGCGCGACCTTCGTTGTCGTCGATGCGTCGATTTCTCACTTCTTCACCTCAAATCCAACTCGCCAACTAGTTTGTTCGATTAGAAAAACATGCAGTGATGGACGACGTCCACAGAAGAATTATTCACGTCCCTGAAGATTTCTTTACCTGCTGCGAGACCTCCCCAACCTCTTGAACGACAGATTTTCTTCGCACAGCCAGCAAAAGCAGAAACAGCAGACCATAGGGACATGTGTTAGTTCGCTGAACTCAATCTGCTTCACAGATGGTGCCAAGCCGGCTTCGCCTGTCCCAATTTCGCAAAGCTAAGTACCGCATGTTCGAGTTGAACTCACTCTTTTGGACGTTCCATCTTACCGTAACCCGCACAATAACTAATTGCTGCGCTGACAGTTCAGTTCAATTTCGGAGAAGATGATGGCGGTATCCGTTTAGATGCGGTTATTTTCCGCGTGACTATTATCCTTGGCAGAATAGTTGAAGGCGGTGGATCATAGAAGATGGGGTGTCATAATTGCATGAAGAGAGGATCGCCGATGGAATTGGACAGTACGGCGATTATGGAAAATGGCGAAGAAAAACGAAGTCCGCTTTGGGACTGTACTGTAGGCCGTTCCATGAAAAGATCCAACTCAAAAGGTCATGAAGGGATATTTGACATGAAATATTTTCTATAATAAATGAGCTATTCACCAGAAATGGATATGTCAAAAATACAGTCTTCTCGTTTATTTCCAACTGCACAAAAAATCAAGTTCTTATTACAGTAATCTATAATCTTTGAAGGAGTTTCGGAGAAGGCCTGAAGATACTTCTAGTAAACAAAGACAGGAGTGAAACGCACCCTACAAATTTTCTAAACCAAAGATCAATTTTATTGATGAGGAAGATGACAAGGTGTATACGCAGTGATAAGTCAACAAAAATAGACATTAGTATTCTATACATCCATAGATTCATCCATGTAAAATTGTTCTGAAATCTGGAAAATTTCAAGATGAATGTGGAAAAAAATAAAATTTGAACATATTTATCAGAAAATTTGAACGTATTTACTGTATGTCTCCAAATCCTCCAATAGTTCATGACGAGGAGACAACTATAGGAGGGCTTGGAAAAGTCAAATAAGGGCAGATAATTACATTCCCTTACGAATTGATTAGCAGTAAGAACAATACAGCATTCAAATTGCATTTCAAACTACACTTAATAGAAATTATGGTGGTTTTTGAGTCCTAACTTCTACGTCCTAAAAATTCTGCTTCACAGAGATCTATGACGTGACTTCTTGCGCACAGTTTTCTTAGCGATCGCACCGTTACGCCGACTGTTTGCTGCGCTTTGTCGTTTTACGGCGCCGGCGGCACTTTTGTGATCGTGGGGCGAGGTTGCCCGATAAGGCGTCAGTGATACGCAATGTCTAATTGGCAATTAATGCATGCTGCGCCGGTGGCGCGGGGCGGCAGCGTTTGCGGCTTGTGAAAGCGCACGAGCTGCATAAAATATTGCGTAGCGGGTACATGCGAAAACATTACGCAACAGCTGGCAGCCGCCAGGTGTCCGCGTCGCCGCCGCCGTTGTCATCGCTGAAAGGACGCGACACGTAGCGCCATTTGCTCTACATTTATGGGACACATACGCGTGAACGGTGTCGCCGGGTGATCCGCACCGATCAGCACATTCCCGAACAAACACAGCCCGCGTTGGATGCACAGTGTCCTGGCGAGGCTCTGACAGCTTTCCGGCGCTGCCAGGTGGCCAGTACAAAGCACTGTATCTGCCACGGACCGGCGGTGATTGACAGCTCCGGAGGCGATCGTTTCCCATTTCGACGTGCGCACGATTTATCCGAACGAGCAGGATATCAGTTACCCACAACAGTTGCACAATGCATAAACCATCGCGACACTGGCCTCGCATTCAACTTCCATCATCGGGCAACTGTTCAGCGCGTGAACGGAGACAAATGACTGCGGTAATGGCGAACGAGTCAGGGAAGAGTTAGGGCTGATGTGACAGCTCTTGTAGAGATCCAAATTTGTAGACAGTTGAGGAGAAAATTACATAGACAATTTTAAAGAAATCTGTGCGCATACTTTGAATAACTAAATCATTCACACAAATAGCAGCAACAATAACGACATCCTAAGAAATTTGAATCTTTCACAAACTTCAACATGACATTATTCAATAATTTTGCAGCATTGCATAAGCTAGTTTATTCCCGTAGGTTGAAGCACTTGCAGGGAAATTTATGAAAACCCGTAAGTTCTCCATACAGAGTGAATCTGTTCGAGCTGACATATTTTGAATGGATTACACTCTTCCTCTTTTGACCTATTTGTTCTGACTTACTTAGGTAAGTTAATCACGATTTTCTATTTTCGAACTGTAATTTTTTTGAAACAAAACTATATAATTGGGGGGGGGGCGCCTATCCTCCCCCCCCCCCCACCGGCTTGTGCGAGAAAAAATACTACGTTTTGTACAACGAAAAAACTACACGCAGATTGAGATGATTATTTGAGAATGTTGAAGAATACGACTTATGTGCGAATCCCACACTATATACTATCTTTGGTGCGCTATTCCATCTTTTAAGGTGTTATCTGTTACATCATAGAATCCCTTGCGAGCTGAAACAAACTGTTTTCTCCTT